ATCCAGAAACTTAACAGCCGAAGTAGAAAAACCGGCAAATATTTCTATGGTCCCATGACAGACTATTGTTAGAATTAAGGAGGGATGCACATTCTTTCTTAGAATATTCTTTGTTTTCATAATAGATGGACTATATTTTCTATCTAAGTATCTCTCACTAAAATTCCTAAAGTTTTTGTTCACATCAGAAAAAAAATACTCATTTCTCTTATTCTTGGTTTAGAAAAATGACTGTTTCTTAATGCATTAAAATCACATGATTTTGCTATTTAAATAAAGAAAATTGTTGTTCAGTTGCCAAGCTGTGTCTGACTTTGTGACCCCATGGACTGCAGCCCACCAGGCTACACTGTCCTTCATTGTAAATAAAGAAAATACAGCATATCCAATTGAAAAATTAAGCATAAAAAGGTTTTGCTAATTACAACTATCTTAATGTTACTAACAAATAATATTTCTATAGTGTCTCAGTTCAGTTCAGTTCAGTTCAATCCTTTAGTTGTGTCCGACTCTGTGTGACCCCATGAACCACAGCACGCCAGACCTCCCTGTCCATCACCAACTCCCGGAGTCCACCCAAACTCATGTCCATTGAGTTGGTGATGCCATCCAACCATCTCATCCTCTGTCATCCCCTTCTCCTCCGGCCCTCAACCTTTCCCAGTATCAGGGTCTTTGCCAATGAGTCAGTTCTTCGCATCAGGTGGCCATAGTATTGGAGTTTCAGCTTCCGCATCAATCCTTCCAATAAATATGCAGGACTGATTTCCTTTAGGATAGACTGGTTGGATCTCCTTGCAGTCCAAGGGACTCTCAAGAGTCTTCTCCAACACCACAGTTCAAAAGCATTAATTCTTCTGTGCTCAGCTTTCTTTATAGTCCAACTCTCACATCCATACGTGACTACTGGAAAAACCATAGTCTTGACTAGACAGACCTTTGTTGACAAGTAATGTCTCTGCTTTTTAATATGCTGTCTAGGTTGGTCCTAACTTTCCTTCCAAGGAGTAAGCATCTTTTAATTTCATGGCTGCAATCATCATCTGCAGTGATTCTGGAGCCCAAAAGAATAAAGTCAGCCACTGTTTCCCCATCTATTTGCCATGAAGTGATGGGACTGGATGCCATGATCTTTGTTTTCTGAATGTTGAGCTTTAAGCCAACTTTTTCACTCTCCTCTTTCACCTTCATCAAGAGGCTCTTTAGTTCTTCTTTGCTTTCTGCTATAAGGGTGGTGTTATCTGCATATCTGAGGTTATTGATATTTCTCCCAGCAATCTTGATTCCAGCTTGTGTTTCCAACCCAGCATTTCTCATGATGTACTCTGCATATAAGTTAAATGAGCAGGGTGACAATATACAGCCTTGACATATTCCTTTTCCTATTTGGAACCAGTCTGTTGTTCCATGTCCAGTTCTAACTGTTGTTTCCTGACCTGCATATAGGTTTCTCAAGAGGCAGGTCAGGTGGTCTGGTATTCCCATCTCTTTCAGAATTTTCCACAGTTTGTTGTGATCCACACAGTCAAAGGCTTTAGCATAGTCAATAAAGCAGAAATAGATGTTTTTCTGGAACCCTCTTGCTTTTTTGATGATCCAGTGGATGTTGGCAATTTGATCTCTGGTTCCTCTGCCTTTTCTAAACCAACTTGAACACCTGAAAGTTCACAGTTCACGTATTACTGAAGCCTGGCTTGGAGAATTTTGAGCATTACTTTACTAGCGTGTGAGATGAGTACAATTGTGCGGTAGTTTGAGAATTCTTTGGCATTACCTTTCTTTGGGATTGGAATGAAAACGGACCTTTCCCAGTCCTGTGGCCACTGCTGAGTTTTCCAAATTTGCTGGCATATTGAGTGCAGCACTTTCATAGCATTATCTTTCAGGATTTGAAATAGCTCAACTGGAATTCCATCACCTCCACTAGCTTTGTTCATAGTGATGCTTCCTAAGGCCCACTTGACTTCACATTCCAGGATGTCTGGCTCTAGGTGTTATCACACCAGTGTGATTATCTGGGTTGTGAAGATATTTTTTGTACAGTTCTTCTATGTATTCTTGCCACCTCTTCTTAATATCTTCTGCTTGTGTTAGGTCCATACCATTTCTGTCCTTTATCGAGCCCATCTTTGCATGAAATGTTCCCTTGGTATCTCTAATTTTCTTGAAGAGATTTCTAGTCTTTCACATTCTACTGTTTTCCTCTATTTCTTTGCACTGATCACTGAGGAAGGCTTTCTTATCTCTCCTTGCTATTCTTTGGAACTCTACATTCAAATGGGTATATCTTTCCTTTTCTCCTTTGCTTTTCACTTCTCTTCTTTTCACAGCTATTTGTAAGGCCTCCTCAGACAGCCATTTTGCTTTATTGCATTTGTTTTTCTTGGGGACGGCCTTGCTCCGTCTCCTGTACAATGTCATGAACCTCCGTCCATAGTTCATCAGGCACTCTTTCTATCAAATCTAGTCCCTTAAATCAATTTCTCACTTCTGCTGTATAGTCATAAGGGATTTGATTTAGGTCATACCTGAATGGTCTAGTGGTTTTCCCCACTTTCTTCAATTTAAGTCTGAATTTGCCAATAAGCAGTTCATGATTTGAGCCACAGTCAGCTCCTGGTCTTGTTTTTGCTGACTGTATACAGCTTCTCCATCTTTGGCTGCAAAGAATACAATCAATCTGATTTTGGTGTTGACCATCTGGTGATGTCCATGTGTAGAGTCTTCTCTTGTGTTGTTGGAAGAGGGTGTTTGCTATGACCAGTGTGTTCTCTTGGCAAAACTCCATTAGCTAGCCTCCAGCTAACCAAGAGATCATATGGAAGGTACATTTGTAAATGTTAGTCTAAGTGTCTCGAGACAAGGGCAGCATCTTTCTTTTCTTTTACAGTCTCTCGAGCACCTACCACAAAAACTACTGAGGATCTACATAAATAATGCTGGGGCGGGGGGTACTCTGTGTCAACGTGGGATCGTCTTTAAGAGCATTTAAGGATAATCAAGAAATAAAACACAAAGTTCGGGAAAAAAGTCAAAGAATAAGGAAGTTTATGTTAAAAACAACCTCTCGTGTATTTACATCTCTCCGTAACAGAGTCAGGAAGAAGCAAACGGTATTTTAAACTGATACCGACAGCAGGTTAACCTCACTCTTGTCATTCTGGGAGGATCAAGGGCAATGATTCATTAAAAAAAAACAACGCTAAGACTTCAATTACACACATTTCACCTTGTTATCACTTTTTGACACTTTCTTTCCCCCCAAATGTCAAAACTAAGAACTATTTCCCCTTTAAATACTTTTTATCATTAACGACTACTCTGTGAGGGATGCGACCTGGGTTCTAACAAGGAGACAGTAATATAACAGAACTTTATTTCTCTTCACCTGAATTTGAGAGTATTAGTTTATTTTTCAATCAGTTAGCATAAATATCTCACAAATGCCTAGTTGCTCGCCTTTAGTTTCTAATCACAGGGTTAACATTTTTCTGGTAATTCATCAATGCAGGCAGAAGAGAACCATGGCTCTTTAATGCATCTCTCAACCCTAACGAGTTGCTCAAAGGATGAGTCTGAGCTGAGAAGTTAAGGGCGAGGGGCCAGGTCACTCGTCAGGTACATTCAACTGGTTTCTTTCACTTGTCATGGCCTCATCCAGAGGGACCTGTGGAGGTTCTGCCCAAGAGCCCCACTTGAGTTCCAGAAAAAGCAAGGACATGGACAGCTTAGCCACAGATGCTGAGGGCCTTGGGTCGGACCGGTGTTTGCTGACTCTGGGGACTGGGGGTGGAGGAGGGCATGGTGTACCCTGCTATGAAACGCTGACCTTGGTCTGCTTTCATGAGAAAGAAGGATGTTTGCAGAATGAAATTTAAAAGGGTTGTTACTAAAATGCTCTAAACTGACTTTTATAGATTTTCAAAAACTTTCCAGTGTGAAGTAATCACAAACTTCAAGGAAAACTTCAGGAAGAGCACTAAGCACCTGATCGCTCTTCCACCCAGATTCACCGATTATTACTTTGCTGCAGTTGCTTTCTGTCCACATGCACACACACATATGCTCTACACACACACACACACTCCCTCTCTCTCTCTCCCACTTATTTTCCCTGAGCCACCTGAGATGAGGCCGCATATATCCTGTCCCTATTTCCTTATCTGCTCTAATCTATGATGCATGTGTGCTAAGCTGCTTCAGTCAGGTCTGACTTTGTGACCCTATGGACTATAGCCCTCCAGGTTGCCTCTGTCCCTGGGATTCTCCAGGCACAAACACTGGAGTGAGTTGCCATTTCCTTCTCCAGGGATCTTCTTGACGGAGGGAACGTATCCAAGTCTCTTATGTCTCTTGCACTGGCAGGTGGGTTCTTTACCACTAGCACCACCTGGGAAGCCCGCACACACAACATAATTTCAGAATTGCTGTATTTGTACCCATGAGGAGTTTGAGATTTGTTTGCAGTTCTTTTTTCTTTTTTTTTAGGCAGAGGACATATTATGTTCGCAAGTTACTGAAATTAATTTTCCCCCTTTCTTATATCATTCCCTTAAGATACAGTTGGAACATTTACTTTAGTTGCCTTTTAGTTCTGCGGCTGTCCCCAGTGTTGATTTGCTTTTTGAACCTGTAAAACATTTACTTGATTCCTAAAGTTAAAACCATACAAACGGAGAAGCTCCTGGACCTTCCACCTCCTTCTCTCCCAGCCCTGGCAGTGAACCAGGTTCAGTAGTTGTGTACATATGAAATGTCATACACTTAAAAATAAGCAATCTCAAGGCAATTTTTAAAAAAATTATATCCTCCTCAAAGTCATAAGACGCAGAGAAGCCAATGACTGGGCCCAAATGTCTAAAACAGGTATAGCTGACGGTTTACCTGCTATCAAGATCTCGGTTTATCAATATATGCTTGAATTCTTTCAAGTCCTGTTCACCAAAACTGTCGGGGGTATGAAGCCCGGGCTTAGGGCAAGTACTGGGTGTTAGGATTACCTGCTCCTCCGAAACCTCTAGAGGTGGGGACGCTGGTTGTTCAGATCGCCGACCATCCTGGTAGTTTACGTTTCTTCGCTGACGCAGAGGAGGGAAAAGACGGTTCCAGTTGATCATTCCTCCCTAGAAAGAGATCATCACACAGAGATCAGACGTGGAGGCGAGGAAGCCTCGTAATGCTTTGCAAAGCCTTCTCCAGTGACGCAGTCACAGCTGCAGACTGCAGGTAAGATGTCAGATGGATGTGCTACGCTCAAGCGGAAAGGGTCCTGTAGCCCTTCCATCCACAGGCTGAGATCCGCAGCCTGCAGGAGACGCGCAGAGAGAAACGGAGGGGGTGGGTGCTGCCAAAAGGACTTGTGCCCTCTGGCGCGGAAGGTGGTGGAAGACACATGCAGTCACTCCTAACCTCAGCCCCATGGTGTCCCCACCGATGCCATCCCGACTCCGCTGGGCTCTGGAGAAGCCGCGAGGAGGCGGCTAACTCAGGGCAGGCAACCAGAAACCTGGAGCTTCCTTCAGCAGCTCTTTAAAATGCTGCTCCTCCCTCTTTTTGTTCTTTTTTAAAATTTAAGTAAATTCTGAGCAAGGTCAGCAGAGAGAGAGAGACTGCAGGTGGAGATAAACCCCAGGTTGGGGGACAGGCTTGTGAGTGGAAAGGTAAACCCTCCACGGAGGGACAAGCGGTTCAGGCCTGTCCTCCGTGTGGCTTTCTGGACAACTTAACATCGATGGCGAGGTCATTTCTTGCCTTTTCTATGTCATTAGTGAACAAAAGCCACAATGGGAAGAAAAAAAAGTATGCGCCTCATGCTGCTTTTTAAAAATGGATGTTTTTACCCATATGCCAACTTTTTAATTTATCAACTTCAATCTATTTCTAGACGTCTTCTGGTTCTGGAAGATTTACAGACTAAGAAAACCTAAAATTTTTCCTACTATAAATACTTGTGGATAAAATTTTAAAATATTTCAAATGCAGAGCTGAACACAAAGGGCAGACAGAGGCCCTAGGGTGACAGAAACAAGCTCTGAAACCAAGGCGGTAAAGAAGCAGGGACAGGTGTGAGGGCGAGCACACCCTGCTAATTCAGACACACCTGGGCGCTGGCACCTATCTGGGTTCAGAAGTGGAGGCCTTGCGGCTGAAAGAGGCTATGACTGTATGCAACAAAGTGGTGAAATCTCTCAGCGTAATACTGAGTAAAATAAACACAAAAGTACATTTGTATGACTCTCTTTGTATGCTAACTTTTCTGTGTGTTATACTTTAATAGAACGTTACAAGAAGAAATAGAAAACCTGACTAGACTTTTAGCCATTAATGTCACAAAAATAATAGTTAAAAATCTACCTACTAAAAATCTTCAGGTGAAGTCCATGAAAATTTTAAGGACCCGCTGTCTTAAACAAATTGTTCTAGAAAAGAGAAAAGGAAAAGAGCACTCTATCTAGTTTTCTGAGGCTATGTAATACTGTTTCCAAAATCAGAGAAGGCTATCATGAGAAAGAAGAATTATAAAACAGCCCATTTTTCATTTATGGACATGTACAATAATCCTAAATAAAATATCGACAAACTCCATCCAACAATGTTAAAAAAATTATCATCTTATCCAGTAAGATATATTAGATTAGGATTTATCTCAGAAATCTTAGAAAATATAGTAAGGTAATTCATACATTAACAGATTAAAAGACAAAAACCAAATGCTCACTCAACAGATAGAAAAATAATTTGATAAAACTTGATGAAGAGACAAGAATGCCTATTACAACCTCTAGCATTCAACACAAGTTGGTGCATAATGAAGACAAGACCAACCAATTGTGAAAGAAAATGCAGCAGGATGGAAGGGAAGACACAAAACCATCCTTCACACAGGACGACCATCTTACCTAGAAAATGAGGACCAACAAGACAGAGTACAAGACACAAAAATATCAGTAACATCCCTTGCCTGTGATCACTGAGAAAATGTAACTTCAAAAAATTCCTATTTACAAAAAGTAACACAAACTATTTAGGTATTTAGGAGGGCTTCCCTGGTGACTCAGATGGTAAAGAGTCTGCCAGCAACACAAGAGACGTGGGTTTGATCTGAGTCAGGAAGATCCCCTAGAGAAGGAAATGGCAACCCACTTCAATATTCTTGTCTGGGAAATCCCATGGACAGAGGAATCTGGTGGGCTAAGTCCATGGGGTCGCCAAGAGTCAGACATGACTGAGCAACTAACTCTCACATTCGCTCACAGGTCCTTATGAATTAAATCTAACAGAAGACCTGCAAGGTCTCTATGAAAAATGGTAAGCTTGACTGAAGGGTATCAGTGGAAAGACAGCCTGTTCCTGCCTGGGAAGGCTCAAAACTGGCATCTTTCCACACTCTGCCAATTCCAGAGTGCAGCAGAGATGGTGGGCTGACTGTCAATACCCACATTCCCTTTTCCTTAAAAATAAGGTTTCTTTTGGTGACACAATTACTACAACACATTCTCAGCATCCCCCACATGGACTCAGTTCAGCAAATGGTACGCAAGCAGGAAGGGCACGCGGGACCCCCAAAGGGGACCTTCAAGGCAGGGACAAAGTCTTCCTCAGTGCTTCCTCCTCCTTCTTGGAGCTGAGGCAGCTGTCCTGGCCCCGCGCTGAGGACAGGGCCACAGTAAGAGAAGAGGAGACTGGGGGTGGCAGCTGCTCCCACCGGTTCGGGGCTGTCAATGTCTGATTTGTTTCACATAAGACAGACTCATACTTTGTTTAGGTTTCGTGATTTCATGTTGCTGTCACATGCAGCTAAAGCTGTGTGTGTGTGTGTGTGTGTGTTTTAGTGGAACGAGACAACCTGAAATTAAGGGTCAAAACTAGACCTGAATACTTTCAAGAAGTATAAAGGAGGACTTTTACCTACAAGTTATCAGGACTTACTGTCAGATGACAAGAATTAAAGTAGGATGGTATGAGCACGTGATAGGTGAGCAGTGCTAAGAATCAGGCTGAGAAATCAGAAGTAAACATGGACACTTAGTACATGATGGAGGGGACCCTGTAAGTCAGCAGAAAAGACACCATTTAATGAACAGTATTGAGACAACTGGTTACAGACATGGAAAAAGAATTAGACCTGACGCCACATACAAAATGAGTTTATTTTTAAAATAAACCCCATAGATTAAAGATTTAAATCTTTTTTTGTAAACCTCAGACTCTTTGTGACCCCATGGACTGTAGCCTACCAGGCTTCTCCGTCCATGGGATTTTCCCAGCAAGGGTACTGGAGTGGGTTGCTATTTCCTTCTCCAGGGGATCTTCCCGACCCAGGAATCGAATCCGAGATTCCCACATTGCAGGCAGACGCTTTACCCTCTGAGCCACCAGGAAAGCCCCATAGATTAAAGATTTAAATCTCGAAAACTAAGCTCTTAAACATTTTAGAAGAAATAAGAGACATTCTTTATGTTGCTGGGATGGGAAAGGATTTCTAAAACCAAAATATGAAGCATAAATCATGAAAAAGGGTTGCTAACAATTACTAAAGTAAGAACTTTGTGTGATTAAAAACAACAGAGCTAGAAGACAAAGTATAGATTAGGAGAAGACATGTGTAACATATAACTGACAAAACAGTATCCAGAATATGTAAACAATCAATGAGAAAAAATAAATAACACAAGAGAAAAGTGAAGAATGCATATGAAAAAACAATATTCAGAAGAGGAAACCCTGAGTCAATAAACATAAGAAAAGATGTTCAACCTCACTAGCATGGGAAATGCAAATTAAAACAGCACTAAGTCATTTCATAACCGTAAGACTGGCAAAAATGAAATGTCCAACAATACCAAGGATGGGAGTGATGGGAAGGAAATGGGAATTCCACACAGTGTTGATGAGAGTTTACATTGGCACAAACATTTCAGAGAACAGTATGTCAAGATCTAGTAAAACTGAGGATGTTCTATAGTCTAGCAATTTTATCTCCAGGGGGGTATGAATGCCTAAAGGGGCATTCAGAAGGACATTCTCTGAAGAACGGATTATAATATTAAGTAAGAAAGCGTAAAAAAAATTCAACCATCCCTAAGTAGGGAAATAAACTAGTGAGTGGTTCCACTACATAAAAGACTATTACATGTGCAGCTAGAATAAATGAACTAGATCTAATGGATACATCTCAAAAATACAATGTTGAATGAACAAAGAAAGCTACATAAGAATATGTATATATAAAAGTATTTACATAAATTTAAAAATATTTAGAATAGTATACTATGTAACCTATTTTATGGATATATATATGTTTGTATACACACACACACACACACACACACACACGTACGCTAGTGGTGATTCTGCCCCCACTCCTCAGGGAATATTTGGGGGCAGATGTCTGGAGGCATTTTTGGTTGTCTTGGGGGGTGGGGAGGAGTCTGGGGAGAGGGTGGTGGGTGCTGTTGGTTTTTAGCAAGTAGAGGCCACGGCTGCTGCTAAGCACCTTCTAATGCACAGGACAGACCCCACAGCAAAGGACGGCCTGGACCAAAAGGCCCACAGGGCTGAGAAGCCCTGATATACACACAGGTGGCAAAGATACAAATACACGCAGGCAGTGGACACCGTAAAAGGCATCAGATACACAATACACCCGCTTCAGGACAGGACAGTGGGAAGGGCAATGAACCTTTTATTCTTCAAAGGGACTGAGAGTGAAAGAATAAGCAAAGCAAAACAAAACAAAAAACCAACAACAAAAAAACAAAACTAAACCCCAAGCTGTGATAGAAAAAAAAGTGCTTAAAAAGCAGAAAGTTACAGGAGCTCTAGGTTCTGGGATGTTTTGACACCGGTCTGCTCTTTCTGTAGGTTCAACGTGAGCCTCTGCAAACAGGAAACATTTCCTTCACTTTGTCTTCTTCAAAAGCAATAACCACACACTCAAAAGAGGAAGGCGGAAACAGCTTGCATTTTGAAGAGCCATTTTATGTTATTAGTTGGTAAGGAGATTTTTCAAATGAAGTCACATTTCTTCTGAAAACAAGCAAACAACTGATTTTCCAACTGAGAGCAGCAAGCAGTTGTTCATGTTGTATCGTGTGGAAGTTACGTGGGCTAGAACTCAATC